AACCAAAAAAAAAAAAAAAAATACAAGCATTGGAGAGGAGATGGGTCAGTGGTTAAGACCACCCACGTGGTAGCTAACAACTGTTTTTAACTCCAGTTCTAGGGGATCTGACACCTTTTTCTACATCCATGAGCACTGCATGACACATGTACACTTACATATATGTAGGCAAAACATACATAAAATAGAAATTAATTTTTTGAAATATGCCAGGCGTGGTGGCACATGGTTTTAATTTCAGCACCAGGAGGCAGAAGTAGATGGACCTCTGTATTTGAGGCCACCTTGTTCTGTACTGAGTTCTTTGCCAGCCAGGAGTACATCATGAGACCCTGTCTCAAAAATAAATCGGGCCAGGTGTGGTAGCACATACCCTTAATCCCAAGAGTGAGAGGCAGGCATCTGTGAGATTGAGACCAGCCTAGTCTACATAGGGAGACACTCTCAAAAAAACAAAAACAAATAAAAAAATTAGAACTGGAGAGATGGCTTAGCAGTTAAGAGCACTTACAGCTTTTCCAAAGAACTCATTTAGGTTCTCAGCACCCACAGGGCAGCTGACAAACATCTGTAACTCCAGTTCCAGAGGATCTGATGCCCTCTTCTGGCCTCCATGGGGCACTACGTGCATGTTGTATACTGACATACATGTAGAGCAAAGCACTCATACACATAAATCTCTTGGCGGGACTGGAGAGATGGCTCAGTGGTTAAGAGCACTGGTTGTTCTTGCAGAGGACCCAGGTTTGATTCCCAGCACCCACATGGTGGCTAACAACTGTCTATAACTCAAGTTCCAGGGAATCTAATGCCCTCTTCTGACTCTGCAGACTTTGCACGACACAGGTGCACTTAACACGTGCAGGCAAAACATTCATACACCTAAAATAATAAAAAAAAATTTGTTTTTTGGTCTTTTTGAGACAGAGTCCCTGTAGGTCCTGCTGCCTGGAACTTGCTCTGTAGACCAGGCTGGCCTCGAACTCACAGAGATCCACCTGCCTCTGCCTCCAAAGTGCTGGGATTAAAGGCGTGTGCCACTATGCCCAGCTTATATTTTTAAAAAATAAAACCATACCAAGCATAGTGGCATATGCCTGTAATCCTAGCATTTGGAAAGTAGAGGCAAGAGGATCAGGAGTTCAAGACCACTCTCTGCTACATAGCAACTTTGAGACCAGCCTGGGCTATATGAGACCCTGTCTCAAAAACAAAGCAGGGCAAGGGTAGAGGCAGGGGGCTATGGCGATAACACAATTGGTAAAATGTATACCCTGTAAACACAAAGACCTGAGTTCAATCCCCAAAACCAGTATGAAAAAAGGTATGGTATAGTAGCAAATGGTTATAATCCAACACTGAGCAGGAGGCGACATGGATCCTTGGGGTTTGCTACCAGCCAGCTAGTCAGCTTAGCCTGTTAGTGGGTTCCAGGCTAGTGAATGACTGTTTCAAAAGGGGGGGGCACACCTTTAATACCAGCAGAGGCGGGCAGATTTCTGTGAGATCAAGGTCAGCCTGGTCTATATACATAGAAAGTTCTAGACAAACTAGGGCTACAGAGAGATCCTGTCTCAAAAAAATGACTCTGCAGGTAAAGGCACTTGCTATGCAAGCCTGGCAACCTAAATTCAATCCCCAGGACCCACAAGCTATTCTCTGACCTCCACATGCATGCTGTGGTATGCATGCCCATACACACATTATGCACTCACTATAACGATGGTTTTTTTTTGGGAGGGGGGGTAAATTTATTATTTTTATTTTATGTGTATGCATGTATTGCCTGCATGTAGGTAAGTGCCCACAGAGGACAGAAGAGGCTGTCGGATTCCCTGGAACTGGAATAACGGACAGTTGTTAGCCGCCGTGTGGGTGCTGGGATTCAAACCCGGGTTTTCTGCAAGAACAACCAGTGTTCTTAGCTGCTGAGCCATCTCTCCAGCCCCAGGTTTTTTATTTTGTTTTCAAAGGTGAACAGTTCCTGAGAAATGACACCTAAGATTGTCCTCTGGTCCCCACATGTACCTGAAACATACCTATGTCTGTACAAATAGTACTCAGACATAAATAAACAAACATGTCTGGTTTCTTAGGAACATGTAGCAAAATCTTTAAGAGGTTGGACCTTGGGGCTGGAGAGATGGCTCAACAGTTAAGAGCACTGACTGCTCTTGCAGAGGACCCAGGTTCAATTCCCAGCACCTACATGGCCACCAACAACCATCTGTAGCTCCAGTTCCAGGGGATCTGACACCTTCTTCTGACCTCCACGGGTATTGCACAACACAGGTGCACTTACACAAAAGCAGGCAATACACTCATACACATAAAATAAAAATAAGTATATATTTAAAAAAGAGGTTGGACCTCATGGAAGGTAGGTCATGGGGAGAGGGGTATGCCAACCAGGGGAATCCCTGGCCTCTCTTTTCTCTTTGCTTCCAGGTCAGATGTCAAATCACCATGATGTGACGCTTCACATGCTCCAAAGCAGTGGGCCAGTGCCGGGTTGGGACCTCTAAAACAGCTATTGATTGTCTCAGGTATTTGTAACAGTAAGAAAAAGCCGAGAACGCAGCAAGCTTCTGCTATTATAGGGGCAGTGATGCCCTCCTGGGTAGATTAGTCCTAATACGTGAGCGCACCAAAAGCAGTAAATGACAATTTTCTGCAGAGTTTGAACGGAACTGGGTTACAAGAATGTACGTAAGCCAGGCATGGTGGCGCACGCCTTTAATCCCAGCACTTGGGAGGCAGAGGCAGGTGGATCTCTGTGAGTTCGAGGCCAGCCTGGTCTACATAGTTCCAGGACAGCTGGGGCTATAGAGAGACCCTGTCTCAAAAAAAAAAAAAAAAAAAAAAAAAAAACAAGAATGTACGTAAAGAACAATTTATCTTATTAAATTTCGTGTTGCTTAAAACAGGAAGAGGAGCAGAGCAGCAAAAGTTAAGGAAAAGCTCTTTATTGCAAAGGATACACTGAAACTATAAAAGCAGCCTTCCTGGACTATAAAATCTGTCATCCTCTAGAGTTTCCTAAGCACTGGACTATTAAGATGGAGCATTAAGTGCCCCTAGGGTCTAGAATTTTGCCTATGAAGAGAAGGGCTCCTGTGTCCGTGTCCCTCAGGACAAAGATGAAAGGTCGGTTAAGATGATAGTCAAGGGGAAAGGTAAGGCGAGCAGGCTGGAGGCTTGGGTTGGGGCTGTTTCCTGCCCCCTCCTCATTCCACTCAAAACCAGCCCTATGTTCCACTTCAGTGAGCTTCACGGGTTTGCCTGTGATCTTGCTGAAATCGGGTGACTCAAACAATGATTGTAGCTCTGCACAGAGAGAGAGATTCCCATTTAAGCCCCTCCTTGTCCAACCCTCTCCCCAACCCCCAGGAAGAACATAATCCTGATTTGTATATGCTGATTCTCAAAAAAGCAAGCTGGAAGCAGACCATTGCTTTGACCTGTGAAGTATGAGCGCTTACACGATGTATGTTTATGGGGCTGTGGACTAAGTCTAATGGGAAGGCGGTTCAGTCTTCCCCTCGAGTGTAATCATGGAGCCACCCTGCAAAGCCATAGGACCTTGGACTCTGCTTAGCAAGGTGGAAGGCTCGAAGACTCATCCCCACTCCCAGCCCCAAGAGTGAAGGGATCTTGCAAACATACTCATCTCCTGCAGGGACTTGGTAACTTGGCCTTCATAACTCAGCTTCAGCTTGGGGATGGTCAGGACAGCTTGAACAGTCTTCAGTTCTCGGTCTATGTCATGAATGAACTCAGAGGTGAGGCTCTCTTCTATCATGGTCAAGTTCTGGGTCGCTGTCAGGGGCAGGAAGAAGATGATACTCATACTTCCGGTCAAGAGCAGCTGGGCAATCTGAAACAACAGCGAAGCGGCATGTGGACTAGTCCTAGGGCCCAGGAACCAGAGATGGGCACACACCAAGAGCTGCCTTCCCCTTTCCTGTGGTGGGGGGTCCTGGCCTTGTGTTCCCACTGCCCCTAGATCTGAGTAACAGTTCTGATTTCTAGAAGTCATCTCTTGGTTATCCTTCAAGGAGTAGTCTGTTATTCTTCTCAGCCTAAGACTCACTGAAGTTTACTGAAAATTTTCAGCTGTGTTTTTTTTTGTTTTTGTTTTTGTTTTTTGTTTTTGGGGTTTTTTGTTTTTTGCTTGCTTATTTGTTTGTTTTGGTCTTTTTCAAGACCTGGTCTTCCTGTAGCCCCAGAGATCCCTCTGCCTCTGCTGAGAGGTGGGATTAATCTTTTTGAGACGGTCTCCCTGTAGCCCCAGCTGTCCTGGAACTCACTATGTAAACCAGGCTGGCCTTGAACTCACAGAGATCCACCTGCCTCTGCCTCCCAAGTGCTGGGACTATAGGCATGTGCCACCATGCCAGGCTTCACTTGTGGTTTTAAGGAGCTAAAATTGAATTTCAGGTCTCTGTTTCCTCCCAAAGCCTACTTGCTGATTTACTGGTAATTTGCCTTTTGCAGAGCACTGGGCTAGAAATGGGGGTGTTGGGCATAGCAGTGCAGGGGCAGCAGTAAAATGGATCCTTTGAGCAGAGTTTCTTTTTTTTCAATTATTTATTTATTTTTATTCATATGAATGTTTTGCCTGCATGTATGTAAGTGCACCAGTGTCTTGTAATGCACATGGAGGTCAGAAGAGGGTGTTGGATGCCCTGGAACTGGAGTTACGAATGGTTATTAGCCACCGTGTGGGTGCTGGGGACTGAACCTGGGTCCTCTGGAAGAGCAACCGATGCTCTTAACCACTGCCCCCTGAACAGATTCTAAGGCCCATGGGACAAACAGGATCAAATGTTCCCAGAACCCTTTGAAATCATACAAAGAAATGTATTTGTGTGTACCAATGCCATTTCTCTAGAGCGTTTCAGACACTTTTGTCAGATTTCCAAAGAGATTGTTACCTGGAAAAAGGTTAAGAATTACTGATTTAGAATTAAAAGAAAACACACTGAAAGCCTTAGCATGTCGGCATTTGGAATTTGTGACAAATTTTCAGAATTTCACTCTTAATTCTAAAAATAGAAACTGTCAAGAAAACAATTAGGCTGCAGCTATATCTCAGATTGCTCTCCGAATATGCATGAAGCCCTGGGTTTGATCCCCAGCACCACATAAACCAGAGGTGGTGGCACATGTCTGTAACCCCACTATTTGAGGTAAAGGCAGGAGGATCACGATAATCTTCAGCTACAAAGCAAGTTTGACACCAGCCTGGGCTACATAAGACTTTTTTCTTAAGTGAAAGAATAAATAAATCAGCATTTGAGTGCCAAACCTTTTTTCCCTCTTGTTTTGGTTTTGGTGATACTGAGGATCAAGCCCAGGTTAGGCAAGCACTCTGCTACTGAGCTATATCCCCAGTGATAGCCAAGACTTTTTTGACTTTTTGGTTTGCTTTTCAAGATGGCCTCACCATGTAACCCAGGCTGGGCTCTTGATCCCCTTACCTCAGCCTCCCAAGTGCTGGTATTGCAGGTGAGTGCCACCTTTCCCAACTCTGAGTGCCAGGTCTCAAGAACCCATTTCTCATGACCTTAATCCTTACAACATACCCTGAGAAGATCAGTTTTGATAACCATATCTCTCCCCATTTTAGAGAAAGAAAGAAATGTTACTAACTTGCCCAAAGTCACACAAATTGGGATAGCTGTCATTTCTCAAGGGTCATTCCACTCCAGACACCATTTTGCTTCTCTGACCTCTCCCACAACCCACCCCACCCTGCATACCTTGCAGTTGAGATCAGAATCCAGGCCATAACGTAAAATGGCTTTGGGGTCTGACATCATGGGGACTTTCGCAGTCCTCTCCTCATCCAAGTGGAAATCCTGGAGGGATGTCTCTCTAGAGTCAAACTTTGTTACCCACTGCCCTGGAATGAAACAGCAGATGGAGTGTCCTGAGCCCCTGCCACCAGAAAGGCTGCAGAGCCATGCTGTGTCTCCACAGCACATGGAAGGGTGCCTGCTGGCCAAAGGAACCTCAGTTGTCAGCAGCATTGACACACAAGGGAAAAGTTGCTCTCTTGCTCAGTATGTGTGGCTTGGGCCACAGTATTTCCGGCACCCTGGCTATTTTCCCAAGCGAACTCAGATGGAAATACGCTGACTTTGTCGCTTCGGCTCCGGATTACCAAACTCTTTTTGTTTAAGGGGGCTTTTTTTTT